TTTGAGTTAGAATTTTGTCCCTCAATGCAATTTCGTTTAGATATGTTCATGATATACAGTAGTTTCCTTATGGCCCAAAAATAGGACTCTGGATATATTTTTATTAAAATTAAATAATCTAACCTCTTCAATTAAGTTCATAATGGAAATTTAACATAATAATTCAATATAATTTTTAGATGTCTTAGCTTATATATTTGAACATAATTTCAACTTTACTTGATATATTAAAATAAATAATGCTGGTTCATTATAAAGCATCATTTTTACTTCAATATTTTGGTGATCTCTCAGAATATGTACTGGTAGTTCAAAACATTTCCTGGTGATATCAGTGTCATATAAATCTATCGTATAATTTTCAGCTTAAAATACAAAAAGACTTTAATTTCAAAGTTTCTCAAATTACTAGAAATATTTTCTTTTGTTTAAAAAATAAAAAGAATATATCATAAAAACCACATTAGTTACACAAGTTTCATGACAACTTTATGTATTTACATCCCAAGATTGCTCATATTTTTTATAATATCAATGTAACATTTAGGGATCTTTATATCATTAAAACAAAATTATTAATAGTTTCCCCCATTAAATGTAATGAGTGTGTCCACAAAATTACTTGTAGATCTTTAAATAAATTTTATGACAAAACTGGTACAGACCTAGTCCAGAGAATACAGTACAGTATACGGACGTGGTGCTAGAATCATTGATCTTACCCTTTCTGTCATATTCAATAACATGTTTGCAAAAAAGATTTATATATATATATATATATATATATATATATATATATATATATATATATATCATATGATTATATATGACCGCACTGCTGATCTTATAGTAGTAGTACTGTATAAGCTGTCTATGCATGCTGCTAATTATTTTCTTACTCTCTGGATTAAGAAGAGCAATCAAGTTACCGACATTCGTGGTAAAGACACTCTAATGATTATTGAATGGTATATATTTTCAACAACATTTCGTTCCACTCTGGAACATCTTCAGTTATGAAATGAATATACAAGGTGGAAATTTATCTGAAATACACATGTGAAAGAGGTGAGGTTGTGTGTGTCTGTGGGAAGGGGGGGGGTAAGGTGAAGTAATCACACATAGGTAAAGAAATAGGGGAATAATGGGGATGGATGTCAATCAAACACTGGGTAAGGCGGTGGGCGAAGAGAATCCTAGAGATGTCCGGTGCTGTATGGCGAGGTAAGGTCTGGATCTGAGCAAGGTAGGCAAGGTATCCAAGTCCTTACTCTGTTTATTTACGGTAGGTCTTTTTTTCCTTTTATGAGTACAGCTTCCAGTATTTGCAGTCTTCTCTGGTTAGTGGTGGCTGCCAGGAGTGTCGTATTGCCTACTAGCATCTTACTAGTGAGTGTTGTGTAATGTACACTTTGCATATGGTTTCTAGGGGCACCAACTTGTTTGAAGAGGGTAGGTCTGTCTTCTCTAAAGCTTTGTGGTGGCCATGCCAATGTAGTAGATCGAAGATCACATCCTTCATTGGGACATGTAAACTGATTGGTATACCACGTTTGTTTTATGGAGGGTTGTATTCTTTATTGGGGCTGTTCTTAAGTTCAGCAGGCGTTCCTTTGCTCGAGTATGTGTATGTGTGTATGTGTATGTGTGTATGTGTGTGTGTGTATGCGTGTGTGTATGTGTATGTGTGTATGTATGTATGTATGTATGTATGTATGTATGTATGTATGTATGTATGTATGTGTATATATATATATATATATATATATATATATATATATATATATATATATATATATATATATATATATACATATATATATATATATATATATATATATATATATATATATATATATATATATATATATATATATATATATATTATTTTATTGTATGCATGGACGATGAATTATGTTACCAAAATAGTAGAGAACGCCAAGTGCTGAGATTGGCAATTGGTATTCAGCGCTGAAATAATCCTTGTTGGAAAGTAAATACTTGTTAAGTCTTATAAATTAACTGGTTTGTTGACCAGACCACACACTAGAAGATGAAGGGACGACGACGTTTCGGTCCGTCGTGGACCATTCTCAAGTCGATTCACAATCGACTTGAGAATGGTCCAAGACGGACCGAAACGTCGTCGTCCCTTCACCTTCTAGTGTATGGTCTGCTCAACATACTTCAGCAACGTTATTGTGACTCATCGCCTAACTGGTTTGTGTCATATTCCGGTATAGTTGCATTTACGGATGTCATGCGCAACCTTAATGCCGCTCATTTACTTGATCAAAACAGCCTCGCTTCTTGCAGGGTCGGCGTTCGATCCCTGATTTCAAGACGATGGATACCATTACCTCACTCCGTCCTCATATTCCATACTTCTTTTTTCTCATACAGTTTATCATTACAATATACAGTCGTACAGACAGCGTTCCCTCTCTTGATACTCTTCCTTATCCTCTACTGGTAATACAATTTGTGTTAGATTGGGCTGAGGCTACTTGACAACATACAAATCCTGCGGGTGATTTAATTTTGGTTCTGTTATACATATTAAAGCTATTACATAGCTAGTTTGCCCACATAACGTTGCAAAGTTGTAAACGAATGAGCTGAGAATATGAAATGTTCAAATATTCTTATATTTGTATGCAATGTTATATAATTTTATTACATTAGTACAATATTTATAATAGAGTACAATAATTTATAATACAGTATGACAATTTATAGTATAGTACAATATTTATTATATGAATTATACCTGAATAATAAAGAGCAAATTAAAAAGGCGCAAGGTTCAAAATTAGCCTCGTATCTGCTCAACAAATATAGGTATTTCTAGGCCAAGTTACCTACCGTACTTGTATTACTTTGTCATGAGAAACCATTAGAGCATATATAGTTCAGTATTATTTCCCGGGTCAATCATTCATCATTGTCAGGTATCTGCTAGCCCAGGTTCTGGCTCATTGAGGTTGTCAGTGCTGGGACTGGTAATCATTCAGCGCTGGGACTGGTATTCATTTAGGGCTGGGACTGGTATTCATTCAGTGCTGGGACTGGTATTCATTTAGGGCTGGGACTGGTAATCATTCAGTGCTGGGACTGGTATTCATTTAGGGCTGGGACTGGTAATCATTCAGCGCTGGGACTGGTAATCATTCAGTGCTGGGACTGGTATTCATTCAGGGCTGGGACTGGTATTCATTCAGGGCTGGGACTGGTAATCATTCAGTGCTGGGACTGGTATTCATTTAGGGCTGGGACTGGTATTCATTTAGCGCTGGGACTGGTAATCATTCAGTGCTGGGACTGGTAATCATTCAGTGCTGGGACTGGTATTCATTTAGCGCTGGGACTGGTAATCATTCAGTGCTGGGACTGGTATTCATTTAGCGCTGGGACTGGTAATCATTCAGTGCTGGGACTGGTAATCATTCAGTGCTGGGACTGGTAATCATTCAGTGCTGGGACTGGTAATCATTCAGTGCTGGGACTGGTAATCATTCAGTGCTGGGACTGGTAATCATTCAGGGCTGGGACTGGTAATCATTCAGGGCTGGGACTGGTAATCATTCAGGGCTGGGACTGGTAATCATTCAGGACTGGGACTGGTAATCATTTAGGACTGGGGCAAGTATTCATTGAGGATGATCCCAACCCTCATCCCAAATGGATAAGCTAATAAATCAGAGGGAAGAGTAGAATTAATGTATTTGTCAAGATAAGACGATGAAAATAAAAGATAAAAATGATAAAAGGAATACTGTACTTATTTTGTCTTTTAGTCTACAACAGATATATATATATATATATATATATATATATATATATATATATATATATATATATATATATATGTGTGTGTGTGTGTGTGTGTGTGTGTGTGTGTGTGTGTGTGTGTGTGTGTGTGTGTGTGTGTGTGTGTGTATGTGTGTGTGTGTGTGTGTGTGTGTGTGTGTGTGTGTGTGTGTGTGTGTGTGTGTGTGTGTGTGTGTGTGTGCTGTGTTTGGCTACATATGCATACATATGGCGTTGTTGGTCTTATAGTGTAAGCTTTCTATGATTTTATTTTCTTAGTTTGAGTATTAAGAAGAGCCAGTCAAGTTACCAAAATTCATGGTATCCAAATGAGCCACAAAAAGACATGAGAAAGAAAGTCTTCCAATTTCAACATAGTGAACCGATGTAATGAGTCAAGAAGTGAGGTGGTCGAGGGTAAACTCCATCCACAGATATAAATATATATATAATAACCCTACAGCCTCTGGAACATACACACAAGTTTGATAAAGGTCGAGAGGCGGACTTGAGAGCCGCAGCTCGTTCCTCTTAGGTACAACTAGGTTAGTACATATATTTTTGAACAATTTATAATACTATAAATAATAATAATAATGATCAATAATAATAATAATAATAATAATAATAATAATAATAATAATTTTAATAATAATAATAATAATAATAATAATAATAATAATAATTATAATAATAATAATAATAATAATAATAATAATAATAATAATAATAATAATAATAATAGAGACGATCAATATATAAGAAATAATAATTACTAGAATAATGATCAAATAACCCCTATCACAGGCATCAATAACAACAATAGTGTCAAAATATAAAATTACAAGTTCTCTTCAGATAATTGTCACGTTTCCTCGCTGTGGGTCCCGTAAGCCAGATATTCCCGCCAGATGTTACCGAGAGGGAGGGAATTATCAGGGAAGGCGTCAAGCCATTACGACTATATAGCACTTGGAAGGAATTAGGATAAGGATTTGGGATGGGGCGGGGGGAGAAAGGAATGTTACTGCGGCCTCTACTTCCTTCTCTGCCAGAACTCTACGACTACGGAGAACTCTACTAGCTTACCTGCTTCAAGAACTAACTCTATATGGCTATAAGAACTGATGTTAGTATCCTTGTATATTACTCTATGACTTTCAGAACCAGAATTTCTGGCTTTGGCTTACCTGTGCAGGTGACAGAAGTGCTCTGCAGGAGTCAGCTCTCAGACACCGGGATCACCGGGGCAGGTGAGCAAGAGGAACACTTGGTAAAGCAGGTCGAAACAGCTGTGAGAACCTTCACTCGGTTGTGAGGAAGTTCGAATGCTGCTTAAGACGTTCGAACTCAAATACTTGGCGAGGACCTTAGGACACCTGGCGATGCAGTTCAAACAGCTAGCGCAGCAGCGGCACAAGGGACTAGCTGTAGGCCGCTAGCAAAAGGTGCTAAAACAATGTAATTTTCCAGCTGGCCACAGAGATAGCAAAGTGAGAGCTTTGAGATAGGGCGGGCGGGTAGGCCTAGTGGAGGACCAACCAGTCTCCTCTTACTGGGGGCTTTAGGCCTAGTCCCCTGCCAGTTCAGTAGTATCCAGTCCACCTCATTGTGCCATCTTACGACGAAAGAATTTAGTTCATTGTCCACTGCTCTAAAATTTGCGTTATTTATTCTAAGCGTTTTTATGGAACTGAGAATTATAATTGTTATTATCGTGTTGGCCTTTCTTCTAACAAACACTCAAATGGATTAATTTCGTCCTCAAAATAACAGAATCTTTGAATTATCACAGAACCAGCAACGCATTTCCATAGTTATTCATAGTTTACGGAGAACTATAGTGGGAATCTTTAACAAAAATTTCTTTAGAGATCATATCTTTATAATTGTCATCCTTTAACACGGCTCGCGTCTCCTGTAATGTGAGCTCCCCACAAAAGAAACTCTTAGGTGTTGTGAACTCAAAACAAAAGTAGTCCCCTGGGTGTTGTGAACTCAAAACAAAAGTAGTCCCCTGGGTGTTGTGAGTTCAAAACAAAAGTAGTCCCCTGGGTGTTGTGAGCTCAAAACAAAAGTAGTCCCTTGGGTGTTGTGAGTTCAAAACAAAAGAAACCCTTGGTGTTGTGAGCTCACCATAAAAGAACCAACCCTCTTGGTGTTGAGCTCAGCACACTTCCCGCCGCCAACTGACAACACCCACTGTATGTCAGGTGTTCCAAGCTTACTCCACCTGAGACCCGCCCACCGTTATCTTTCAACACGACACTTGACTCCACCAAGAGCCTGCTGTCACCTCAGGCCCACCCAGTGTTGTCAACTGGCCACACGTCACCTCAGGCCCACCCAGTGTTGTCAGCTGACCACTCACCACACCTCAGGCCCACCCAGTGTTGTCAACTGACCACTCACCACACCTCAGGCCCACCCAGTGTTGTCAACTGACCACTCACCACACCTCAGGCCCACCCAGTGTTGTTAACTGACCAGTCACCACACCTCAGGCCCACCCAGTGTTGTTAACTGACCAGTCACCACACCTCAGGCCCACCCAGTGTTGTTAACTGACCAGTCACCACACCTCAGGCCCACCCAGTGTTGTTAACTGACCAGTCACCACACCTCAGGCCCAGCCAGTGTTGTCAGCTGACCAGTCACCACACCTCAGGCCCAGCCAGTGTTGTCAGCTGACCAGTCACCACACCTCAGGCCCAGCCAGTGTTGTCAACTGACCAGTCACCACACCTCAGGCCCAGCCAGTGTTGTCAACTGACCAGTCACCACACCTCAGGCCCAGCCAGTGTTGTCAACTGACCAGTCACCACACCTCAGGCCCACCCAGTGTTGTCAACTGACCAGTCACCACACCTCAGGCCCACCCAGTGTTGTCAACTGACCAGTCACCACACAGGCCCCCCCCCCCAACAGTGTTGTCATCAGCTGACCCCAGCGTCACCACATTCCTACCCAGTGTTGTTAATTGACCACACTCACCCCGCAAGCCCACCAATGCTGTCAAGTGATCACATTGTCACCACAGACTCGTCCAGCGTTGTAATCTGACCACACTGGCTTTACACGCCCGTTAATTGTTGTCATATGCCCACACTGTCAACGCAAACACATCCAGTAATGAAATGTGACCACACTCTCACTACACGCTCCTGTCAAGCGTTGTCAGCCGACCAAACTGTCATCACATAGCCACTCTAATGTTGTCAACTGACCACAGTCACCACACTCACACCCAGTGTTGTCAACTGACCGTACTATTACCAGAGCTGGGAGGGAGCAAGAACCGAGGAAATATTACAGCAATTAAACCCCCCCTCACATCACTTGAAGGTAGAAGAAACAGGGAACACATGATCACCACATGCAAGATTCTTATGGTAATTGACAGAACAGACTATTTTAGCATGGGTGGTACTTGAATAAGGGGAACACAGGTGAAAACTATGTAATCTTATGAGTAACCAAGGATTTTTTTTTACTCAGAATAGTAAACAATTACAATGCAGTAAATGTTGAAGGTGGACTCGACACACAATTTCACGGGTAGATGTGAGAGAAGACCTTGGGAGCCTATATTGTAGATGGTTAGATGGTTGTAAGACGGAATTCATAAGCCGTAGCTCGTCCTCTACAACTACAACTAGTGACAACTGTCACCCCAGCCCTTCCCCCACCCCCCCCTTCTCCTAGTGTTGTCACCTGTCACACTGTCACCACACCTGTACCCAGTCCTGTCTGATGATACAAGTTACAACTCTACTAATGCTGATTCGCCACACTGACGAGGGCGGTGCCGACGCTGGAGAAGGCAGCACCATCAGGACACACAAACACACACTCCTGTACACGAATGACACGGCCAAGACACGGCCAAGACACGCACAAGACACGGGGGAGACGGAGAGGCTGGCCCACCACTACACGCGGAGGAGGTCTGGCTGCTGGCGCACACGGAGCCAGCCTCGCCCCTATACGATTTATCGCCTCTAACCTTCACTCGCATTCAATTTCAACTCAACACCGCAAGAAGGACATGCCGGGGGTAAATCACGCGGCCACTTCCTCGGGCTGGGGGGCCGCTAGCGCCCCAGAGGTCGGCCCCCAGAGAGCGTGACACCTGTGGGTACCTTGACGACTGGAGGAGCGTCGGGGAGGAAGCGGCGGCGAGCGGGCCGGGGACACGACCACCGCGACACCCACAAGGCGACTGACGGAGGGGAGAGACCCGCCCGACGGTGGCAGTCGCTATAGAAAACGAGATGCAGGGAGACTGTGTCGCGCTGGATGCCCACACACCGCTACCTCCATCTCTATCTCTGCCACCACCGCTCACACACTCTTATATTATCTCCCCACGGTGACACAAACTCCACAAACTCCCACCGGTTGGTGGAGAACCATTTAGGGAGGTTTGGTGAGTTTGTGGTAGTTGACGGTGCGGTTGTTGGAGGTAAAGAAAATGGGGCGCGGGCGGGTTGCGTGCCCGGCATGGCAAGACACCTGTCATTTCGGCGATAGGCGGGCGAGCGGCGGCATTGTCGGTCGGTGGTTAAGGGTGGCCGTTCTGGGAAGGTGCAGGGAGGGGGGAGGGGAGAGGACACAGAAGGGGAGGAGGCCGCGCTGGAGACCAATATCCGAGGAGGAAATTACCGCTGACGAAGACACCTGCGGGTAAAAATAGGGAGAGGATGTGTGGCCGAGCCCTGAGGCAGGGCGGCAACAGTGAAGGGGAGGGTCCGTGCCGCTAGCCCAATTCCTCCCTCCATACCTCCCTCCCTGTGGTGCACGGCCTTTACTCCCTCCCTCCCTCCCTGTGGTGCACGGCCTTTACTCCCTCCCTCCCTCCCTGTGGTGCACGGCCTTTACTCCCTCCCTCCCTGTGGTGCACGGCCTTTACTCCCTCCCTCCCTGTGGTGCACGGCCTTTACTCCCTCCCTCCCTGTGATGGTGCACGGCCTTTACTCCCTCCCTCCCTGTGGTGCACGGCCTTTACTCCCTCCCTCCCTGTGGTGCACGGCCTTTACTCCCTCCCTCCCTGTGGTGCACGGCCGTTACTCCCTCCCTCCCTGGGGTGCACGGCCTTTACTCCCTCCCTCCCTGTGGTGCACGGCCTTTACTCCCTCCCTCCCTGTGGTGCACGGCCTTTACTCCCTCCCTCCCTGTGGTGCACGGCCTTTACTCCCTCCCTCCCTGTGGTGCACGGCCTTTACTCCCTCCCTCCCTGTGGTGCACGGCCTTTACTCCCTCCCTCCCTGTGGTGCACGGCCTTTACTCCCTCCCTCCCTGTGGTGCACGGCCTTTACTCCCTCCCTCCCTGTGGTGCACGGCCTTTACTCCCTCCCTCCCTGTGGTGCACGGCCTTTACTCCCTCCCTCCCTGTGATGGTGCACGGCCTTTACTCCCTCCCTCCCTGTGGTGCACGGCCTTTACTCCCTCCCTCCCTGTGGTGCACGGCCTTTACTCCCTCCCTCCCTGTGGTGCACGGCCTTTACTCCCTCCCTACATGTGGTGCACGGCCTTTACTCCCTCCCTCCCTGTAGTGGTGCACGGCCTTTACTCCCTCCCCCCTGTGGTGCACGGCCTTTACTCCCTCCCTCCCTGTGGTGCACGGCCTTTACTCCCTCCCTCCCTGTACTGGTGCACGGCCTTTACTCCCTCCCTCCCTGTAGTGGTGCACGGCCTTTACTCCCTCCCTCCCTGTGGTGCACGGCCTTTACTCCCTCCCTCCCTGTGGTGCACGGCCTTTACTCCCTCCCTGTGGTGCACGGCCTTTACTCCCTCCCTCCCTGTAGTGGTGCACGGCCTTTACTCCCTCCCTCCCTGTAGTGGTGCACGGCCTTTACTCCCTCCCTCCCTGTAGTGGTGCACGGCCTTCACTCCCTCCCTCCCTGTGGTGGTGCACGGCCTTCACTCCCTCCCTCCCTGTAGTGGTGCACGGCCTTCACTACCTCCCTCCCTGTAGTGGTGCACGGCCTTCACTCCCTCCCTCCCTGTGGTGGTGCACGGCCTTTACTCCCTCCCTCCCTGTGGTGCACGGCCTTCACTCCCTCCCTCCCTGTAGTGGTGCACGGCCTTCACTCCCTCCCTCCCTGTGGTGGTGCACGGCCTTCACTCCCTCCCTCCCTGTAGTGGTGCACGGCCTTCACTCCCTCCCTCCCTGTAGTGGTGCACGGCC